ATTATAGATTAAGGCTCAAATAAGCAATACTAGAGAGCTTAATGTATATAAAGTATTGAAAAAACGCAGAGTTCTGACTCCAAGATAAATATGCCCAAATAATATCTAACAAGGTAAATGATATTTGATTTTTCATAAACTTTGCAACTTCCTTGCGTATATGCAGACAGGAAAATTGCTCCTTGATAAGCTCCAAGGTTTTGTCGCGCCCCACATGACCTCATTGTGCAATTCTTGAATAATCTTCATGCGTAGACTCCCCTCAAGAATGCACAACTGATTTCCTTTGAAAAGAAACCCATTATGTATAGTGTAGTCATCTCAAGATCGTGATCCTAAGTCACTCAAATAGGGCCAAAATAGGGTTCAACAGATAAATAATCTTTGAACTGATCAAAGCTAATTACCTTGGCCTGCATTTGCACAAATAATGATGCTTAATGCATCTGCCACCCTGCTCACAGCTCTTGATTTGTGTTTAATAGTGAAAGAGAATTGTTGAGTGTAAGCATCCCAACGTGAATGTCTAGCTAAAAGTTTATTCTAACTATGAAGGTGCTGCAATGTCTTATGATCTGAATAAAGAACAAACTCATTATATGCTAGATAAGAACTCCAATGCTTCAAAGCCTGAACTAGAAAATAAAACTCCACATCATAGGTACTATAATTGAGTTTGTACCCATTCAATTTCTCGCTGAAATAAGCCACAGGTTTGTCCCCTTAACTTAAAATAGCCCCGATGCCAATTCCAAAAGCATCGTAATACAACTTAAAAGGTTGAGAAAAATCTGGTATCACAAGCACTAGAGCGATTGTCAACTTTTCTTTAATTTGTTAAAATGCTTTGGTTGCTTCATTCCTCCACATGAATTTTCCACTTTCATACAATCTGTGGGTGATGCAGTAATAATAATAAAGTTTGGAATAAAACGCCTGTAAAAAGATGCCAATCCTTGGAAACTACACAGGCCAGAAATAAGATCGAGTCCGTCATGAAAGAGCATTTGGCCATGGCTACAAAACTTTTCCATGCATAGTACTTCCAAGATCTCCTTCAACTGCTGAAGATGCAACTCCACAGTAGCACTATATATCATTATGTTATCAAAATAAACAACAAGACATATACCAATGAATGGTCTAAAAATCTGGTTCATCACCCGCATAAAAGTGCTAGGGGTATTAGATAACCCAAAAGGCGTCACCAACCACTCATATAATCCTTCCCTAGTTTTCAAAGAGGTCTTCCATTGTTCTCCTAGACGTATACGAATCTGATGATAACCACTTTTCAAATCTAACTTGCTAAACATAGTAGCATAACTTAGTTGATCCAACAAGTCATTTAGTCAAGGAACGGTAAATCTGTACCTAACTGTAATCTTGTTGATAGCTCTACTGCCAACAGACATCCTCCAGACCCATCTTTTTCTGGAATAAGTAATGCTGGCATGGCAAAGGGACTAAGACTTTCTCTAATATGACCATTTGACAACAAGGTCTCCATCTGACGCCTAAGCTTTTCATGTTCCTAGAGCTTATGCAGTAATGTGGTCAGTTTGGCAGGTTAAAGCCTGGAACCAAGTTAATTTGATGTTGTATATTTTTCAGTGGTGCTAAACCTTCAAGTAGTTCATCTGGAAATACATCATAGAATTCTTATACCAGTTTGGTCATGAGAGGTTGTACTTCCCCCCTTTACTGCTCTCTTTTCCCCGTAACACAAACACCACTCCAGAATCCTGTAATTCATTCATAAACTCCCTTTTAGCCAACAAAATATGTCCTTCCCCTGAAGGGTGTTGGGGATCTATCTTTTTTGTTAGGTAGTAAGACAACCTTCACTTTGTCAAATACAAGACTGTATATATTCTGCCTTCCATCGTGTATAACACTCCTATCATATTTCCATAGAAGACATAATAAAAGATGACATCCGTCCATGGTTATCACGTCTCACCAAATTTTATCCTTATGCTTTGCACCGATAGAAAATGATGCTAAGCAACGTTTAGAAATAGCTACCTCGCTTCCTTTCTTAAGCCAAGCCAATTTGTGAAGGTTAGGATGCTTCTTTATCTCCATTCCTGACTTCTTAATAGCCTCTTGAAAAATCGCATTTTCACAGCTACCTGAGTTAATGATAAACTTGCAAGCTTGCCGCCAATGGACCTTCATCACCTGTAACCTACTCCTCTTCACACTCATCATCCCCAACATCTTAAATAGTTCCCTACTCGACATTTACCAAGCTATCAACAACTGATTCCCCAGCATTAACGAACAATCCCTTACCATATTTACCACCCTTCTTGCAATTTGTCATGTTGTGACCCTGTTCTCCACACTTAAAACATCGTACCTGGGAACTCGATGCTACTCCCCTACTCGACTGAATATTGGTTCCTCCTTTATTCTGTGTGGGCGATGCAATTACCGTACGCGGAGGGGCTAATTGGTTTGTTCCGGGACTACCACCAGTGCTTATTCCGCCAGCACCCCATCTCTTCTTTTATAAGGTCTTGTCCAAGGGTAGAGCTCGCTGATGGGCTTCTGACACATTCACAGGGTCGAAAAAATTCAAGGAGTTTTGAAATTGCTGTCTCATCCCTCCAATATACTGTGATACTAACTGATCATCAGATTCAGCCAATCCACACGTACTACTTATTTATAAAATTTCATAGTATATTCATCCACAGAAGTCGACCCTTGCCTGAGATTCCAAAGTTGTTGATACATTGTTCTCACATAATTATGGGGTAAAAATGCGATCCTCGTATGTTTAAAGAACTTCTCCCAACTATTAATTTTTTGCTTACCTTGGCACACTCTGGTTTGTTTTGTTTGTTGCTACCGAGCAGCAGCTCGTCCTCTAAACCTTGCTGCCACCAAAGAAGCTTTTCGATCATCAGGAACTCTTTTGAACTCCAATATTTCTTCTACAGAAACAACCAATCTAGAAACACTTCAAGTTTTAGATAGCCATGGAACTCTGAGATGTCCAGTTTGGATCCAGATTCCCACTTGTTAGCATTATTTTAGGCTACAAGACGTTCATCCTTCCCCTCAATTCTGCAAACGGATTTTGAGCCTATTCTCCATCGCTCCCATCATCATCTCCTCAACAAAACGATCATCATCTCGTGCTTGACGTCGTCAATAGCCAATATTGAGAGCCGTCAGTTGTTCAGTTAGGGCGTCAAATCAATGACCCATCTGAACAAATCGCTCGTCCACCTATTGCAGCATTCGTGCCTCCAGTTGCGTCTCATGTGTCATCTCATCGCGTTTGTTCACCTCGCCCGTTGTTGGATGCCTTTCCCCACGAATTCCTCTACTCGCCATGGCAAAAAGGTAACCTGCAAGGCTCTGATAGCTGATGCAGCGAAAAAAGAACAATAGTTGAATCTGTGAACACAATGATCTCACAACCCTTCTACATGCCTAGGAATCAGATTTGGGAATAGGAATAAAGAAAACTTTCCAGAGAAATTTTATTGATCAACCAAAAATAAGCTAAAACTGCCCCCCGCCCCTACTGTAGAATATTGCAGATATATATGAAAACTAATGAAACCCAAAATAGAAAACTTGCCTAAAATAAGCGACAGACAAAATAATTAACGAATGGAAACTTGCCTTAAACTCGCCAAACAAAATAATAGAAAGAAAGCTAATAAAATAATATGTCTATTTCTCAATCCTTCTCTCATACATCTTGATAAAATTAAGGGCCACTCGATCTATGTCACTTTTTAATCTTTTGCAGGTCAATTATAGTGACCCTACAAAATTATTGGCACAAAGATATGCCTAGGAATATCTGCACGGGAAGAGAATAGAATAGGATAGGCATACTGGAAAGTGACGTGATAACCAGCTTTTATTCGTGTGGACATGCTTACGAGTGATTGATGATGTGGTTGATTTTAATATCTATCAATAAATAAACAAGTTGGACCTCAATAACTCATGCTTAACATGTTCAGTAATATATTCTTTATATTTAGTATATATAAACAATGNATAAATAAACAAGTTGGACCTCAATAACTCATGCTTAACATGTTCAGTAATATATTCTTTATATTTAGTATATATAAACAATGTTATCCTACCAATTATTTGTCAGGTTAAATTCAATTTTGGTCACCAAAATTTCAGTGAAATCTCAATTAAGTTCATCATAATTCACAACTTCAATTTACTTTCAATCTTGATCACTCCATTTGTGAACATTACCAAACTTAACGTGTCCCTATCCCCGTTAGACCTGATTCTCGATAAATAAGTCACATAATCATGTAATGGCTTCGTAATCTTGAAATTGGGATAAATATACACAACTCTGAGCATGCTTTAGTTGGATGAATTACTGTTGACTTTTCAAAAACGATTATTATTGTAATTTGCAGCTACAACAAGATTCTTATTTACCTGAAAATGTAAAACATGTTAGATTGAAAACATTATCAATCGTTGATATAGGATTGTGACGCTAAGTTAAGTAACAGAACTAATGAAATGACTAATATTGAAAGTAAATTGAAATTCAGTGATCTCATTGTTATAAATTTTAGTTAGATCACTAAAAGTGCAATAAAAAAAATGGAATTAGCCCATTATTATTTTAACATTTTATCTCCATTGAATGGTGCACATTTTATTTTCACATAAGAAACAATGACTTTTTGGTAGTGGGACGGCGATGAAAACATTAGAGCCTTGTTAAAAAAAGACCCCATGAGTCAACAAATGATCTATAAAACACGTTTTCTTTACGCTACAAACAGAATAAAAGTTGGAGGCAGATCTAATCCTCCTGCCTTTCTCTGCAATTCTGATTCATGGCTTGGTCTCTTCAATTCATCATCCTGTTTACATTATGTTTCTTCACTGTCCATTTAGTTACTGAGAAACCCATCTTACCAAATCGTCTAGTTCTTCCAGTAACAAAAGATCCTTCTACATTTCAATATGTTACCGAATTATACATGGGCACTACACTTTCCCTTGTCAAGCTGGTAGTTGATCTTGGCGGTCCATTTCTGTGGGTTGACTGTGCATCTACGTTTCAAGAATCCTCTCTAAATACCATCAAGAGTTGCTCAATTCAGTGTTCGATGGCAAATCTTAGCAGTCGCAACAAGGCTGCTGAGCAAAGAACCATGGCTTGCCGTGTTAAACCAGTGAACTCCATTACAAGAATGGCTGTTACAGGTGATTTGGCAGAAGCTAGAGTGGCTATGATGTTCGCTGATGGTTCCATTTCGTCCATAAGCAACTTCTTTTTTTCATGCTCACCAGAACTGTTAACAGAAGGCCTTGCTTATGGTGCCAAAGGCATGCTAGGTTTAGGAAACACGAGAATTTCACTGCCATCACAAATTTCTAATACTTTTGGATATCATAGGAAATTTTTCATGTGTTTATCCCCGTTATCTGGTGCAATTTTCTTGAGTGATATTCCTAATGTGCTGCATATTGGCAGTGAAGTTCCAAAATCGATGATGTACACTCCCTTCATCTCCAAGCAAGATGGATACTACATCAATGTGAAATCCATCAAAATTGCAGGCAAAAAGCTGTCGATCAATTCAACATTATTGTCTGCTAATGAAAAAGGTCATGGAGGAACAAAAGTAAGCACAATTCTTCCTTACACCACAATGGAGAGAACCATTTATGATTCATTTGTTAGAGGTTATGCTAAGGTTGCTATTTCAATGAACATGACTAGAGTGGCAGCAGTGTCACCATTTGGAGCATGCTTTAGTTCAGAAGGTTTAGAAGACAAAAGGTTTGGGTCAGGTGTGCCAACTATTGATCTTGTTTTGCAGAGTGAAATGGTCAAATGGAGAATTTATGGGAGGAATTCTATTATTAAGGTAAGTGATAAGGTTATGTGCTTGGGATTCTTAGATGGAGGGTTGAATCCAGAGGCTTCAATTGTTATTGGGGGTTACCAATTGGAAGATAATCTTTTGGAATTCAATTTAGGCACTGCTATGCTTGGATTTTCTTCATTAACGAGGTGCTCAGACTTGCTAGCATCGCATAATGTATTAATATGAGAGGATGGGAGAGAGTATATTACAGAAACCAACTTTTAGAGTTTCTGGCAGAGGAATTATATTAATGCCTCATAAATTGTTTTAGATAATTTTCTTCAGAATAATCATATTCACACCCCAAATTAATTTTATTAGATACATCGCATTTTTAGATTTTTTATTTACTAAAATAGTCATAAATAAAATGATATAAATAACCATCTAATTGACACTCATATTTATGAACATCACAAATAAATTTCCCGGCCAACCCATATACTTACATACACCACGAATGATAACCTTAACTCGTATAGGATGCATCTCAAATGAAAACCTATCCCATGGCCCTAGGCGTTGGGTGGATCGATCCGAGTGTTTCAATACTTAGAAATATCCATTATATTTCGATATTTTGTAAATGAAACCATTTGAGTTCTTGTAACACTGGAACCAAACTCAAACTTGAATAGTCAGTTGGGGTTCGATTCTATCTATAATATTTTTTTAATATATAATTTTATATAGGGCCTTTCAATACATATACCTAACACATTACTACAAGACAACATTTGTGTAAGGGAAAAATCTAGCTAAGAAATCTTCAAGAAGCAAAATGTTGGAAACTAAAAATCACGTAAAGAGGAGAAAAGCATAACATTAAAAATTGAATTAAAGTTTTAGAAGAAATTATTTTTTCTTAATAAATCTTATTCAATGTATAAGGCATGCTAGAGCCTCTAATATAATTATGAATTATGCTTAAACTATTCTACTCTTAAAATGAACTGGCATAAAAATATTAATTATATACATAAGTATATAGTATCAAAAAGGGTTAATTAGCACAAAACATTCATACCTTTCATTTTTTGGCATTTTTACCCCTATGCGCAAAATGTCATTTTCATCCATTTTTTAAATAAAATGATGATTTCATCCTCCTATTCAAATAAAACAAAAAAATAAAAATAAAAGAAAAATAAATAATTAATTGCAATCATAGTCTTAAATTTTTCAAAACATTATTTATAAGTCCTAAATTCTCGACTACCACAACTTTCACAACCCCACCCAGCTGCCACTTATAGATTTACATAGCACTACCTTTCGGCAACAATACCCATCGAACTCCACCACCACCAGCCTCGCCTCACTCTCCCCAACATCCTCCTCCATAGCATCGGTCACCAGTCCATCCAAAACAACCACATTTATAGCCCAAAATACCAAACTACCATATACAATCCTTCACAGCAATCCCACTTTCGACGCCACCCATGGTCCCGCACCACCACCAACGATTACCCCTCACCTCAATAATCATATACATGGCCTCACATCAATCAAAACTGTCTCAAATCATTTTGTTGTAATTCTAGAACATTCGGCGGTGGCGACATCCATTTTGCTAAATTCATCTCTTTCAATTCATGTATCTCACAACACTAAATCCCCAAATTGGCATCAATCGAACCATCAACAAACCCAAACGACAATGGGTATGAATCTAATTTAAAAATTATTCCCTCAACCGTTTCAATTTTTGATCCAAAACTCTCTATGGGCACGATGCACAGCGAGAGCTGTTTGACCAAAAATGGTGGGTCCTAAGTGCTCCAATCTTTCAAATTCATGTATGGGAGGACGATGGGGAAATGTGGCAAGGTTGATGGTGGTGGAGTCCGATGGGCATGGTGGCCAAAGGTGGTGCTATGTGTATCTACATGTGGCAGTTTGGTAAGTTGTGAAAGTGGTGGTGGTGGTGGAGAATTTATGATTTCTTTATAATTTTTTAAAAACTTAAGGATTATAGTTGCAATTGGCAATTCATCTTTTCCTTTTGTTTTATTTAAATAGGAGAGTAAAATCGCCACTTTATTGGAAAAAATAGATGAAAAAGACCTTTTACGCAATGAAAGGGGAAAGGTGAAAATGTCAAAAAATGAAAGGTAGAGACACTTTGCACAATAACATTAAAAGGTAGGAATCTTTTGTACTAATTACCCTATCAAAAAATTACCGTCCACAAATCCTACTTACTTTGTTTGAATAGGAAAGGGAAAATTATATTTCAAAAGAGAATTACAAACTTAAGATAACAAAAAAGGTACACTACAGTAACAAAAAAGATAAACAATGCATAAAAGTAAAAAGCTCGAATTGTAAGGAATGAATACTTTGATTCATCAACTTACCCCACAACCTACCTAGAATTTTGATTCATAAAAAACCCAAATCGCAACATCTACAAACTTCTGAATGTAACAATCTAATGTGAGGCGAGAAGCAAAAAAGTTGGAGTTAGTCTCGATTTTTTTAAGATTAGAGTTCAGAATTTTCTTCCCAATCTATAAATTATAAATTAAAAAATTATATAATAAATTGATTTCATTTAGGTATCCATGATTTTGGTTCAGGAACCAAGAATCGATCAGTTTTCGATTCTCGATTTTAGTTCCTAATTTTTTTGGGAATCGGATTGGAACCTCTAGTTCATGTTTGATTTTGATTCAGGAGGTTCGATTCCGATTAAAATATCCAGAAGAACTATCCTATATCCTTACAATTATATAAGAGGGAGTTTGGAGGACAATCAATCACAATTTCAACCAAAATGACATCATTTTTTTTCCTTATCTCTAAAATGACTTCATATTGCCCAAAGTATAAAAGGAATAACATGTATTCTTCAATTGGATCGATTCTAGATCCATAGTCTCTCCTCTCTTTCAAGCCATAGCTCTGTGTGCGATTTTCATCTAGTCTTGCATATTTTTCATTCATATAGGTTCAGATTTGTTTAAATTTGGTGTATTTTGTTGTTTTGTTCATTTTGGAAAATTAAAAAATTCCTTTCAATCCTTGCAAAGCCTTTCAATTGTTCTTTTGCATTGCTTTGGTAGGATCCCCAAATAAAGGGTATTTTTGGACTTTTGGTGATTTGAATTGATTCGTTTCGTTCTTTCATATTGCTTGTTTGGATCCTCAAATTACATGTGTGATCCTTTTGGTTTCTTTCTTAGATTGTCAAAGCCATGGTGTTTCTGGAATTTAGGGTTTGGTTTACTCACTTTTTCTGGTGGGTTCCTTCGCTTTGTATTCATTTTAGAAAATCAAAAGTTTTTTGGAGAGTAGTTCAAGCCCTTTTAGTTGTCTCGCATTTCAACGAATCGAGGGTATTTTTGGAATTTCCAACTCTCTATATCATGTGGACTTAATCATGTATTGTAGTTCTCGATTTCAATAAACTTCATGAACATGCCAAATTAATGAAAAGAAATTAAAACAACGACAAACGTTTGATGTGAAATTATATAAAATATCAAAAGCCAATAATTGAAGTCAAATTTTCCAAACTAGTTTCTTTCATTCTTCCTAACAATTGAAATTAGCTGCTCATCATTTTATACAAACATATTGAATTTAGGGATACATCATTGTCATCGGGATTGGAAAAGAAAATAGAAGATAATGAGATTTGGAGACAAAGTCCGTGAACAGAGCTTCAAAACACAATACCATTTTCGTCTTTATACCTCCTTTTCTTGAGAATAAGAAAATCTTAATTCTACTTCCTCTAGATCAATCAATTAACATAAAGAAAAATAGATATTTAAGAATAGTTAAAATTTCTAGATGTTCGTTTTGAAATAATGAAGTTCGACCCAACTAACACCTAGAAGGAAGTAAATATGTGTTTTATGCGGAATTTAATTTTACCAATTAATAAAAGCAACAAGTCTCAATTATTGATTAATCCAAATGAATTCACATGCAATACTAGCCTAAATTGAATTACTGTAGTTGATAAT